AGAGAGAGAGAGAGAGAGAGAGAGAGAGAGAGAGAGAGAGAGAGAGAGAGAGAGAGAAAGAGAGAGAAGAAGAAGAAGAGGAAGGGGCTATTCTAATTTGAAGCGCACAAACCTGTCTGAGGACAAGAATCTTCTTCTCTGCAAAAATAGATGATGAGACATCACCTTCAATACGCTTTGCCTCCTCAGCATAGAATTCTATAATATCAGTCGCGAATGCCATCTGCAACCGACCGAATGACGCCCACAACGGACAGATCATCAATGAAGTCTCAAAGGTCAAGAGATAGCTCCTTTTCTTTTCCTATTTCATTCCATATTCAGGAAAGAAAACAGAGCACATGGTCATCCCTCCCTTTTTCTAAGAGAGCTCAGTCTAGAAGAAAACAGTGCACTAAAATTTCCAGCTGAGGAACTCGGCTAAATTTCTTTTACTTCCTTTCTTTTCTCTGGTAATGACGGTTTCCACAGCATGTAATCAGGGAGTGGGGACAAAGTCAACAGACGACAAACAGGGACTCTGCCGTTAGCACAGCAAGTACAATTATACATGAAAATCAATGAATACTAACCTTTGAAATTCTCCCTTAGAAAGGGATCATTGGATCAATGCATAGTAAGCTTTTTAAAATTGGGATAATTGGTGGAAAGCACCCACGCTGGGGCACGTACCCTTGTCGGTTTTGGGCACCTGAAGTTCCATTTGGTACTACCAGCCCAAACTTCTTCCGCCTGGGTGAAAGGCGCCTTGGCGCCCCGGCCACACCTGCTCCATTGGCCTGTTTTTACCGGACAATGAATCTGGCTCTGTTTCTGCACCACATTCATGAACCAGAAGGGTCATTCTTTTTCAAAATATGGTACTTCGGCCTCGTTCTATATCTACCGCCTGTAATGCCTGTGGCCCTTCTTGGCAAACGGGCAGAGTTTGGAGGCGGAAAACCAGAAACGTTTCTGCGCGGGCTATATCTAGTTTGATAGTATCTACGTATTATCCCAATGTGCTTTTTGTTGCAAACAATTAGACAGTCCAACTCCACCACTATGGGTCTCGCTCCACCACTGGGCCGCTGTCCGACTGTAGATAGCAGTGCATCGCTCTGCCCAGAGTTGAAAAACTTGTGAATAGCTGTCAGAATGGACTTTACAAATGCACGCCCCAACATTGGATAGTTCACCTCCTGCAAGAGTTGTTATTCTTCTTTTGTAGAGGTTGGTTTCTGGACCCACGACAGGTACCTACCTACAGTCAGCAACTATTTCATGGGATGCACACCATCCGATCTTGGAGGATCCCCCTCAGACAGCCCCTACTGCAGATTTGTCAACGACCTCCTCCACGAGAATCAGTCTGTGACACCCTAACCTCACGCCCAGCACGGCTTCCTGATCAAAGTGGGGAGCGGATCCACAAGTAGCGAGAAAGGGGGTGTGCCAAGGATTTTAGGAAAAAGATGGCAAAGTCCCAGGTCAGAACTGGGATCCCCAGCGTCAGGGTTCTAAGGACAAGGATGCAAGATGCTCGGACGAAGGAGGGCCTTCCCGAATTCTCGGCGCAGCAGGTCCTGGTTGGTGCCTAGGTCAGGTCCCGAGGTGGTACTTCTGTCGTTAGCTTCGGCACAACCTTGGCAGTCGGTACATGCAATTGCAATCGAGAACAGATGCTGAATTCTAGGCTACAGGTCTGTGCTGTTGCTGCCGTTCCTATCCATGCAGACTGATACTTGCGGGCCAAACACCGTCAGCTTGCTAGGTAGGTTTTCATGGCCTACCAAGCCGTCACTTATGAGCGGCCGTCAGCTTGCTAGGTAGGTTTTCATGGCCTAGCAAGCCGTCACTTATGAGCGGCACCACGTAGGTGCTGGGTTTTATTCCCGTTGCCGTCACTTTCAATGGCCTGAGAAGGATTGGTGGCCAGGGCCAGTCAACACCAGTAACTCGCTGGGGAGAGTTGTGCCGCCCTGTAACCAGTTGCAATGCGGGAGCATCAGGCCAAGTACAAGTGGCTGCTCAGGTCCTGCTGCGGCCGGTCGAGACACACCCAGTACACATCCCGAAAAAAGAGCTCTCAGAGTTCTCAGTCAGAATCATCATAGCTGACATTCATAATCAGGGTTGACACCCTCAATTTCAGGATATTTCCAGAGGCTTAAAAAACACTCAACACACCTGTCACAACATAAGCTCAACGATCATGACATATAATCTACCATATTAACTTCCATAAAAATCTTGAATTACCTGGGGCCGGTCACCTGTGGATATATCTCAAGACTGCCCCCCTTTTTAAATTAAAAAAAAAAAAAGCACAATTTTTTTGAAAAACAAAAAAAGAGTTGTGCAAGCACATGTATACGTGATGACGGTGACGGGCCGTGTTGTCGGTGAGTCGTAGGGTATGCACAAGCTCGTATAAGTTCCCCTTCATCAGACAATAAACGAAATGACCAACTGTGTTACATGCCCAGTTGGGCCGATGTTCATAATAACCAAGGATCCGCAATGTGAAAAAAAGGACCAAATGGATAATGCAGTGCAAGTGGATGTGATAAAAAGGACCGAATGGACAACGCAGTGCAAGTGGAATCTCATCAAGCAATGTGCATTCCGATACATACAAAATGGTGCTTTACAGCACAGGGAAGACTTTAGATACAAGTCCTGACCTGACCGGGACTGACCTCTACCACGTAGTGCAAGAGAGCGCAGCAGAATGCTAGAACACCAATGACTAGCCCAATCAATGTTGCAAGGCAGACCAAACATACATCATGCTCATCACAAGGTGTGCAGGGGCCTGGCGCTATACACAGGAAGGAGGCGCCAGGTCCAGACATACACAGACGAAGAGGAGGGGATCAGACGAAAAAGAGGAAGGGGGAGATGGGAAAATCGTCAACACCAAGTCTCGTTACGAGTCCCCAATAATCCCTCTTCAAAATGTCTGAAGTCCAACGTCGAGTCTGGATCCAAATATCACCAAACTCTCTCTCTCCCTCGTAGTCTTCTGATGCTGTGAAGTCAGATAGCGAGAGGGTGAGAAGGAGATGGTGGACTGAGAACAGGAAGAAGAAGAACTGTCTCTCTCATGCGCCAGTTACTAACCTGTGAAGATGGCCCTGTGCTGCAGGTACCTCGAAGACGAAGCTGGAGCAATGGCGCTGCAGGTAAGTCCCTCTGGCCTCCGCCCAATCTCTCTCTCTATAGTACTACTCTAACTGCTATGGCACCCAGCGCTGAAGACTACAGCTAACGCTACTAACGCCCGGCGCTGAAGACTACTGCTAACGCTACGATTACTCATGCAGCGCTCCTCCAGAGTGCTGCTGCCGAATCCTGAAGACTACCTCCTGCCTCCTGAACTGCACGTGAAGTGCCTGGGAAGTACCTAGGAACTACCTGCCTGCCTGCAGGGCGGGCCAGTCCTATATAGGGAGCCCGTCCAGGAGGCTGCTCTTGCCAATGCCAAAACGTGCCAGACCCTGTCACCCTGGCGTTGAAGCTCAACCAGGGGTCGTCTTGAAAACAGGCCCGAAATGGCCTGTGCTAAAACCCTGGTTTGTTGCCCTTCAGGGCAGGTCGAACTGATGAGGACCCGGAAATGGCCCTCAGTTTCAGGCTGAAAACACTCAGGGCCRGAAAGGCCCTGATTTAGCCTGAAAAGACACAGGGCCTGTAGGCCCTTGTCTTCAGGCTTTCAGGCTGAAACGACATAGGGCCTATAGGCCCTTGGACCTGGAGATGGCCCGTGCAGCCTGTTGCAGACACAGCATGTACCCATCGGTTTTTGCAGGACATGCATCCATGCTCTCCAATCATAATCAGGAAGCGGGCATGCAAAAATAGAAACCACCAATGCCACAATCACCATATCCAACATCATTCATAGAGGAAAGAGATCTGAAAGGCACTCCGAAGAAAGAAAATGATTTACACAATCAGATACATATCTGCAATTACAAAAACGGGAACGACGAAACTCGCAATTCCAAAATCAAAAGACCCAAGAGGACCAGGAGAGAAGGTCCCACACACCCCAGCACCCCACACTCTCTCACTACTTCACCATCCCCCTTCTTGTTCCGATGCAGGCGGTCCGTAGCCTCGCACCTACCAGCAACTCGTCACCCTGCTTAGTTCGAGTACGCACGCCAGGTTCGCCCATGCTCCACAGTCCGTCGTGGCCACACGTAAACCCCGCACATTCGCAACCAGCTCATCAGATCACCCAACTCCGAACTCACCTCCTTGCTCACTTCTACTCATTAGCCGATCCTCTTGACCACTCTAACCTTCCCAAGTCTGGTTAGAGAGCAATTTATTCGCACTTGCAAAATTTGTAGCTATTAGGATCTACGCGAGATAGTCGGGATTACGTGAAGCAGGGGGGAAGTGCTTGCGGTCAGCATGCCAGAGCCAAGGCGTGGGGGATGTAGCCACTCTCCACGGATCGATCCAGTCATGCACTGCTGTAGCGAATGAGATTAAAGAAAAGATGCTGCACGTTCCAACGCAATGAGAAGCCAAGAACAAGAAGATTACAGTTGCGCCCTTACTCGTCGAGGAAGGAACAAGACGAGATTACAGTTGAGATTAGAATTAAGGCGCGGTGGAAATAGAGTGCGAGACAGAGCGCAGCAGAATGTGCGCAAGTAAGGATCACCGCAGTTACGAAAAAAAATACGACGCCCCCAAAATCCTAGTCTAATTAGAGTCTTAATTCCGATCTCTCCTGTGACCTCCCGTATTCTTTCGACAACGTTCAAAAAATTCAAAAAGATCCTCCCACCAAATGACCGCGCCCAGTCTAATTAGAGTCTTAATTCCGATCTCTCCTGTGACCTCCCGTATTCTTTCGACAACGTTCAAAAAATTCAAAAAGATCCTCCCACCAAATGACCGCGCCCAAGTTCCCTGCCCAATTCCCAAAAAAAAAAAGAAAAAGCTGCGTCAAGTTAAAACAACCATTATTCATGTGCTCGCTGAGGTGCGTCCTAAATACCAACCACCATGGGACCAAGTTTTCACAAAACAGAGAGGAGAAGAAAAGAGTGCGGGCACTTGCTCAATTTGATTATGCCCCTCCACCCAACCCCCAAAATGCAATCGCACAGGAAGTCAAGCTAATCAGAAGATAGATCATCACAAGTCTACTAGCACCCCTCCTAAAATGGTTGTTCTTTAAAAAAAGAGTGGGGGCACTTTCGCAATTTGATCATGCCCCTCCGCCCAACCCCCAAAATGCAATCGCGCAGGAAGTCCCGCTCATCAGAAGATAGATCATCACAAGTCTACTAGCACACCACCGAACAAATGATGGGATCCTGAAATTGGAGATTGCACCTGGAGTCTGAGCAGACAAATCTGGGCAGAACAAATCTGCATAGACTTGTCTTTTGGTATTGGTGTGCTTAGTAGTGGAGCCGTGGCATTTTTTTTCAATTTTTGAAGAGTCTAACAACTATCCTAGGACTGTAAATTTGCAGACAGCGGACAATGGTGGTGAGAGACCCCGGGCCTATGTTATCCGAGTCCCGTTCTCCTTTCAGGGCCTACCCTCTTTATCCCAATACAACGTACTGTCATTATTGCTAAATTTAGAAGCAAGAGACTGTATTCCAGTGACGAAGGTAATTCCACCCTTGCCATCCCCCAACATTTTGAATGCATCTGGACCTGGGACTTGTCAGGATGCCTTTGGAATCCTGGCAGATGGGACCGGTGCAACTAGGCCCTCAATCTCTCACCAAGTAAGCTAATTACAAATAAATTAGTGTACACATTGCTCCTGGTAGTGGTACGTAGTGAGAGGAAAAAGATGTGTTCCTTGACACGACAAGAACTTCCAAAAAGCCAGTTGAAACATATGAGACAGTGTAGTCCCTCCTACGTCGTATGGGGGTCTCCATACGGAAGGTCTGAACAAACAGACAGCCAGGGCAGGGGCCCCCAAATATTAAAAAAAAAAAGAAAATAAAAAACAAAAAAATTATGATTGATTGATTGATTCATTAGTGTGTGTGTGCGCACATGGGGAGCGGCAACCTCCCTGCAATCAATAAATCAATCAATCAAGGAAAAAAAGGGGCATTTGCCACGCGTGGGTGCGTGTGTATGTAAGTGCGGGGATGTGTGTGTGTGTGTGCGTATTTGCGGGGAAAGGCAACCCCACCACATCAAATCAATCAATCAATCAATCAAAAAAAAAACGGGGGGCCAATTGCCCCACCTGCGTGACAGTGTGTGTGTGTTGTCATATTCGCTACACACTCAAAAAAAGCATGACTGNTGTGTGTGTGTGTGTGTGTGTGTGTGTGTGAGAGAGAGAGAGAGAGAGAGAGAGAGAGAGAGAGAGAGAGAGAGAGAGAGAGAGGGAGAGAGAGAAGAGAGAGAGAGAGAGATGAGGAGAAGACAGCTTTTCTGAGAAAAAGAAAAAAAAACACAGCTGGTACTCACATTAGGGCTCTCCGAATCGATTCGGCTCCAATTGTGTTTAGAATCTTCAGATATGAGCACCCCCTCAGGGCCCGCAAAGACCAAGCAACCCAAGAGAGGACCCAGAGAACTTTAACATATCCGGCAGGTGAGGTCCCACCAGCAAAGAGGATCGAACACAATGTGAAGAAAATTACACTTTCTGCTTTCCGGCACCTCTGCACAAAACTCATCCAGATTGAATTTCCAGCTTTTCGTTCAATCCTCTTCCCTAGCCGGACCACACACCGGGCGCAAGCCATTGGTCCTTGTAATCCACATTTCACAAGGAGCAACCTGGGGCCAAGTCCCATTAGCAGCGTTGAGTTTCCTCAACGCCTGGATCTGGACGTCTTTGTGGAGACGTGCAGAGATGACATTAAGTTTCCTCGACTGCACATCTCCACAAACACATCCACATTCAGACCTCGAGGAAACTCATGGCTGCTACGGTAGCGGGACTTGGCCCCTGAGCAAGTGGGGCTTCACGCCAAGAAGGGGGAAGAAAAAAGAAACTTCCCAAAAAGAAAAAAGAAAAGAAAAGACCTCTTTCCCAGAATGAATTGACAGCATACACACCTTATGAGACCCCTCCACGCCTTGGGAAATTTTTCGAAAATGTCCCTCCGTCTGACTCTCATTTATTTGCGGTATGCCTCTCCTACGGGCAGCTTACCCTGCCGTGCCCCTGGGGCCTCTGAAGTTTCCTACAGGCCCCTGTCAGTGAGCGGTGCAACTTTCCAGCATATCCCTGTGAGCAGCACCCTGGTGCCTCTGAAATTTCCTGCCGGCCCCTGCCAGTGAGGGGTGCATCTTTCCAGCATAACCCTATGGCCATTGGTGGCACTTGCTGCAGTTCCCCTGGCCCTGGGAGGGGAGCCACCGGGACATACCGGAAATTTAACCAGTACCGGTAGGGGCATATTGAACATATTTCAGGCCCAAATGACACCAGGTGTTTTTGGGAAACTTAATCGTTATAAGAGGGGACAACAGGGTAAGTCAGCCATCAGAGGGGCACGCCAAAAATACATGGAAGTCAGAGGGGGATTTTAATTTTTTCCCACAGAAAAAAGGGTAAAAACATAATATAAATTGGATCATAACCTCCACCGAAAAGAGAGAGAAAAAAGGTCAGTAAACAGATTTCGTCGGTCCTGTTTTTCGAGACGTCCATTAAAATTGGAACAATACAGAGAATTTGTATACAGGATATAGGGTCCGGTCCTGTTCTTCAGGACGTCCATTAATATTGGAACAATACAGCCTCGTTTACTATGGTGTGTCCTAGGGACAGGGTTTTCCATTCAGGGGACAGGTATAGATCGATGAATGAATTCAGACAGATTGGATGTTGTCTCATATGGATTTTGCACACATACAGAGAGGCTTCGACTGTAGGACATAATTACACACCTGGTCCACTGCATAGGGATGCTGGACCCGATTTCCAGTGGACATACACCACATCATTGTAATACACATCACATCACATCAAGGCTAGGGTTCCGTCTGATAGTTAAGACATACATAGGAAGCTGGAGATATCAACACATCTTTGCATAGGGACGCTGGACCTGATTGCCAGCAGACACATTCACATCATTGTACAGGGACGCTGGACCCGATTTCCAGCTGATACATTCGCATCATTGTATAGGGACTCTGGACCCAATTTCCAGCAGGTGTATCTCCCCACCAATACATGGAGAGCCCTCGACGCCCGGACCTACTGACCGGGGATGCTCTTATCACCTCGTTAAGTAGGTTCCCATATACGAAGTTAAAAAAAAAAAAAAAAAAAAAAAGATTAGGATGACACGCATCAATAGATACAAAATTTCGTGGGTCCTCCACAAGGAGGAGGTAGATGTCGAGGGCACATACCTCACCCATTGCCTCAGCGAGAGGCTTCCCATTCTCCAGAGTGATTATCTTCGCCAAGTCCTCCACATTTTCCTTTACCAGATCAAGCCTTCCAGAGAAGAAGAATTGAAAAAACAACCACCCCCCCCAAAAAAGAAGAATTGAGTGAACAACCGGAACACGTATGCAGCCAGACGCAAAGGCACCAACAAACGGACAGTTCCAGAAACCCAAACGAGAATCCAAAGACACCAAACGACACAAAATATTCATAAAAAATACCGTACCTGCACGTTGTGGAGCCCACTGGCAGCAAATTGCAAGCTCAGCTGGTACACCCCTGAACTGTTGGAATGCAGACCTGAGTTCGAAATCCACTCGGACTCCGCTCAGTTCCATGATCATGTCTCAAGCCCATCGCCCTTTGTGTTTTCTTTTTTTTTCTTTTTTTTTTCCAACCACACTACGTTCTTCTCTCAAATTCTATTCGCTACATAGAGTAGCGAGAGGATGAGATAGAATATATACAAAAAGAAGATGAGAGAAGAATATAGATTACTTTAATATATATATTTGCCTTCCACTACCTTCCTACCACTACTCCTAAGACTATATAGAGGGGTTCCAGTTGATGTACCACAGTGGTTAGAGGCTTAGAACACCGGTTCAGATTATAGAGGGGTTCCAGTTGATGTACCTCAGTGGTAAGAGGCTTAGAACACCGGTTCAGATTGTTATTAGCTGAAGCCAGGTAATGGCCTTGGCACTTCAAATCATTTGTATATTTCTATATGGGACGCTGGGCCCGGTTCCCAGCACGTGTTGCTCCCCACGAATAGACTGGAGCATTCGTCCCCAAAAAAAAAAAAAAAAAGAAAAAAAAAAAGAGGTTGCAAGTACAAAACTCACTCAGCCTCGTGCATGGGACACTGGCAGGGCGTTATTTACGCACTGCTGGACACACACCCCCTTCCACTGACACGCGGCAACCTATTACAAACACTGCATGCACACCACCCAACGGGTTTTGTCCATGGTGTTGTATGTCGGGTCTTGATACAGCGTGGATTGCTTCTGACTGTTGCTCTTGGAGATGTCCATGGTGTTGTATGTCGAGTCTTGATACTGCGTGGACCTGCTGTTGCTCGGGGTTGTTCTGTTGATCTCCATGGTCTGACATATCACACACAGGTGCCGTTTGCGAGTGTTGCTGAAATGGTAGAGTCTTCAGGTCACACGTAATAGATCACGGGTTCGCGTCTAGGGTTCTTGTCCAGCTTGGCCTGTCATCTCTTCAAACGAACACACAGTTCCCTCTCCATAGTAGCTCTCCATAGTAGTGCACATATCTGGCCTTCAGGCATATAAGTATACAGTTACAAAGAGCAAATACATACCTTCGGCCGGACACAAACATGGCTCGTGAAAATATACACATAGCCTATGTCCTCATACAACATACATAGCCTCTGGGCACATCTATATATACACAACTATGATACCGGGCTTGGCGGGTCTATCAGGTACATGACGGGATCTACCCATGCATGCATGGCTTAGCTCTAGGGTAGGGTAGGGAGATGGGAGTATGGTATAGCAGCAGCAGAGATGGTGCCTCCGCTGCAGTCAGTCTTGCCGGAGTGAGGTAAAGTGGATTGATGGGGGTTCTTCTGAGTCGTTTCTGAAATTTGGTTAATTCATGAAGATTGTTGTAAAAAAAAAAAAAAAAAAAAAAAAAAAGGGATATAAGTCACCTTGGGGGGTCTATCAGGTACATGACGGGATCTACCCATGCATGGCTTAGCTCTAGGGTAGGGTAGGGGCCTACTAGGGGGTAAGTCACCCTGGGTCAGTTCCAGATAGCCTTGGGTAAGCTAGTTGAAGGACGTCGCTAGGATGTGTCCGTAGACGCCGGCTTGCCTTGCTTAGGTACTCCTGCTGGGTAGACTCTCTGAATTGGGCCTGTAGAAGACTGCATGAGCCTGGCGTCCGAAGTTCCCACAGGCTAAGGTTCATCCGCTTCCCCTTCCCCTAGGGCACTTCCACTAGGTCTGGGGGGTTAGCCAAGCCTTGGTACACGTCACTTCTGTGTGGTCCAAGTTGCCCTTGATACTGGTAGGGTGATGGCCCTGAGTGCTGGTCACACTGAGGTAGGATAGTGGGGACAAAACAAGTACCACAGCAAAGATACCGGTCCGCCCGTTTACTGTAGCAAATAAAACGGGAAACTTCCACGCGGCGAAACGTTTCTATTCATTTCACCCCAAACGGGCCGAAGGCAAAAAGTGCCCCAGGCCCCAAATAAAACGGGAAAAGTTAAAAAACCTCCACGCGGCGAAACCTGCCTATGCATTTCACCCCAAATGGGGCAGAGTTCCAGAATAAGAATTAAAAAAAAAAAAAAAAAAAAAGTGCCCCAGGCCCCAAAATTACTTTTGGCGTCATTTTTGTTTTTTTGCACCACACTTTCATTTTTGTTTTTTTGCACCACACTTTCCCATCATTTTTTCCAACGGCCGTTACCGGGCGAGCCAGTGTGCAAAAATCACATGAAAAGTCATTTTGGGGCCCGCGACACCTTTTGCCCCGATTGGGGTGAAATGAATACAAAAGTTTCGCCGCGGGAGGGGTTTTATAACTTTTCCCAAATAAAACAGCTTCGATTCGAAGAAACATATTGACAAATCATATCCTAACTCCTCAGAGCAAAATGGTCGCAAACACCGTGGCATGCACGACTTACACATCACGTGCACGGACGCGCTACATGTCTAGTGCGAACGCTCTCTCTCTCAGAGTCTCTCTCTCTCTCTCTCTCACACACACACACACACACACACACACGTGTACTTGTGGCTCCATTTCTAAATTAGAACGGCAGTCACACATGATCCTGCAAGGGAGCTAGGAAGTCTGAGCTAGTGGGCTCTACTGGCATGCATCATGCCACTCACCATCTCTTCATGATACTGGAGCGCTCCTTAGCGGTCTTCTTCTTCCATACTGATAAAAAAGGAAAATAAACGAAACAAAAAGGCAAAGCAGAATAGCACGCGTCACGCTTGGTAGAGTGAGTGTGAGAGATCAGCCGCTGGCCAACCCCGAGATCGACAGGAAAGGACCCATGTCACACACATATCTCTTTGCAATCAGGTTCATTGGAGTTCCATTAGACCTGCATTAGAGCTTCATTAGAGCTTCATTAGAGCTTCATTAGAGATTCGAGATGGTTCCAAATGGCTAATTAGACTTCTTAATTTGCTGGATGATATAAGATGAGAGACTGCACTCTTCTCAATAGGGTTCATTAGAGGTAGGGTTCATTAGGGGTTCATTAAAGGTAGGGTTCATTAGGGGTTCATTAGGGGTTCATTAGGGGTTCATTAGGGGTTCATTGTAGGTTCATTAGAGTTTCCAGATGGTCCGACAATTCCAAAATGGCTCATAGAGTCGGCACAATCGTACACTCGTCGCAGTGAAATAGAAATGCGTACAGTCGTCACATTCTAATTAGAGTTTGTACCTGGGCTACCAGCCGGGCCGCCCGGGTCACCTTGTTTGACCGGGCAGCCCCGGCCATGCGTGTGGAAGGGCCCAGTTAAAAAAAAAAAAAAAAAAAAAAACGAAAAACAACTGAGTGATGCAGAAAAATAAACTGAACAACTTCTGCCTCAAGATTCTCATCGATATTCATACCAAATTTAATATAAAATTAAAAATTAAGAATTATTTTTTTTTAATTTTATTTTATTTGTTTTTTAGCCCGGCCGGGCAAGTTGCCCCGGGCCACTCTGGTAGTAGCCTAGGTTTGTACGCATTTCTATTTTAATTTGAATGTGACGACTGTACGCATTTCTATTTTAATGCGACGGTAGATAGATGTTTCATTAGCTGGATGAGATAAGATGAGAGACGGCACAATGCATACAGTCGTCACATTAAAATAGAAATGAGCATGCATACACGATACACCCCATATAATTTTTTTTTTTTTTTTTTTTTTTGGTGATTTAAAGACATTCCATGGCGCACGTATATCCCGAACATAAATCCAAGTAGTGCGATCGAATTCAAATATTTCTCCTAATTGAGCACGTCGAGCCTATTTTTTCACAGTAGCAGAAATGAGCATGCATACACGATACACCCATATAATTTTTATTATTATTATTATTTTGTTTGTGATTTAGAGACATTCCATGGCGCATGTATAACCCGAACATAAATCCTTTCATTGAAAAAAATATATAAAACAATCCTTCAGTGAGTCAGCAACAGGTTCCGATATGAAAGCTCACACAAATCAGTTCACCACTGAAAGCTCCCTCACAAGTGCGTGACAGCAAACGACCATATCTCTTCAACTTCCGTCTTCGACCCGGAGCGTCTCTCTAAAACATTTTCCCGCCAATTTGTCATTTATAATCACACAAATGCGAAGGCTTTTCTTTTTCTCTGCATCTCGTTGGAATTTAACGGATGTCCTGAAGGACAACAGTTAAATTTGACGGCAAGGACAATTATGGCTTCCAGCTTCTTTTGGAGGGGGGGGGGTGTTTTCCCTTTGCCTATACCAGCTTAACATGACACGTTACGATCTACCGACATAATCGATATAAAGGTATACTCACACTAGCACTTCCTAAATGAATTTGACTGCAATTACGGGCAGACCAGGATGAACCTGACCGCAATGACGTCCACAGCTTTGTAGAGAAAGTCCGTGTGCGAGTATGCCCTAAGACTGCCTGCCTGCCTGCCTGCAGAGATTTCCATCCGAACGACATGATTTTTTTTTTTTTGATGTGGCCCGATGGACCACGGATCAGATATTAAACTGATCAGAACAGATACATTGCACTTGATCTTACTTAGCCAAAAGGCCGAGAAAGGTATAAATGCAGGTCATTATTAATTCATACATCTTGGGTCAAAGGGCCTCGCGGCACCACTCTCGAAATGTGCAAAATGAGAATGCACTTCCCGATAGAACATGTCCAGAAACACCCGCCACAATTTTTTGGCTTTCTCACATTCGCAAGACTGGTGTGGCAGGGCCCAAATTCAAAAATCAAATAATGTTCGAACACGAGTACTACCTTCTTCCCCCGAATACAACGTTCGGTCATTCTAGCTGTATTTGGGGTATCTTTCAGTCTACATACAGCTATAATGACCGAACGTTGCTTTCGGGAGAAGAAGGTACTGATATCTAGGAGAAGCTGAATTGATGTCGGCGACGCATCCAGGATTCATAAGAAAAAAAGCATAAATTTAAACTGCCTTCATAAGAAGAAAAAAACAAGCAACGTAATGGAATGGAATGTCCCAACAAAAAAAAAAAAAAAAAAGGAATGTAATCTGATTCTTACGGGTTTGGAGAACGGACAAACCAAACGGCGGACAAACCAAACGGGTTCCTTGCAAAAACAACCGATTGAGAAACTTCAAAAAGAAAAAAAGAAAAAAAAAAAAAAAAACGGTTTAAAAGTTCGGCAGCAGCGATACTTCAAATTTGCCTTACAATAAATACCTATCAAAACCAAGAAAAAACCGTTTTCGAACGCAAGAGCCTGGATGAATGTGACGGCAATCACGTCCAGAGAATAATATTAAAAAACCTCAGTGTACACCCTCAAAGCATCCAGCAGAGGTGCCCTTGGCCTCACTTCCGCTAAACTTACGCCTCGCTGAGTGGACCGCCCCTACGCCAAAGATTAACGGACTCGAAAAAAAAAAAAAAAAAAAAAAAAAAAAGTAACATTCTGCCCACTTGCCAAAAAAAAAAAAGCAATACCGATGGGGATGGAAGGGCAGAGAATGACGAAACAAACGAAGGCAAGGTGGAGGTACGACGACAGGCCTCGCGGGCGAGGTTCCGCTTGCAAAGAGGATCGAATTGAGCGTCTGAATCTGAACGTCTTATTGTGGTGAGATGCAGAAAACCGCGATTGCTCTGCGTTAATGCCTCTCTTATCAAATCCGATCCAGATTCAGGCGCTTGATCCAACCCTCTTTGCTAGTGGGACCTCTCCCCGGAAGAGATCAAAGGGAAGTGAAAACGCAGTGAAGTTTCAAAGTTGACAACAACAACAATTATTGATCTTGAATGTCTTCCTTTCACTAATCGGATCGCCGATGTTGGTCCCTCTGGCAGTCAGTTGGACACATCTGCACCTGTTTTAAGTCGTTACGACTACTGAAACTCTCTGATCACACACACATAAAAAAAAAAAAAAAAAAAAAAAACGCTGTGAAGGAAATTTTGGAAAAAGGTAAGGAGAAAAACAGCGAACCGAACAAAAAAAAAAAAAAAAAAAAAAAAAAAAGGAGCTACCTGAAAAAGCCTTCTCAGCAGCGACAATAGCCCGTTCTGTTTCCGAAGAACCCAATTTGGGAAGCTCCGCTATTACCTCTCGCGTTGCTGGATTCTCGACCTGCCGGCGAAAGTGGTTGCACCAACATCGCCATCAAGTGACGTCAAAAAGACGGGGAAACAAAATAACAGTTAGACACCATTCTTTCATTAAAAAAAAAAAATAATAAATAATAAAAACATTATATCCAATCAAGTAAGAAACGTCACCAAGAAAGAAATATATAATACTACCTACCTACACTACTCTTTAAGCCTATACAATGGCTCCCTTTGTAGCATACCTTCTACCTCGCACAATCAAGGGCCCGGGATGCATTAAGATAAGATTATAGCTTAGCTTTAAAAAAAAAAATCAAGAACATCCTTTCCAAGGTACTGCAAAAAACCGTAAAAAAAAAACAATAAACCGTCATAAAAAGAAAAAAAACGTCACCATGAACCATACAACACGGTCTCCTCGGGTTATGATGATCTGAGTTTGCCGCGGCCTCGAATTTTGAGTTTAGGAAATGAGACGTTAAAAAAAAAAAAAAAAAAAAAAAAGAGAAGCTGAGTTCGTCTCTGACGGGGGGGGGGAGGTCTGGGGCCGTTTCCGAATTGAATTACGACGCTGCCGCCATTACCCATACGTTCAAATAGAAAAGAACCAAAATAATAATAATAATAAAAAAAATATAGGAAAGAACGTAAGAACGGGATCGGGAGACGGGGCCGCGGCCCACTTGAAGAGGTTGAGGGCCTTGCCATTCCACCGTCGAAAAGCGAGAAAACTACCCGTGCATGTTGCCACAGAGAGTGGCCGGATGCACACGTTACTGCATAGGTACTAATAAAGGATGCATCTTGCCACTTTCGCTGGAAGATGCACTCGTGCTTCTTGAATTTCGACAGTGGTGTGCCGAGGCCCTTAGTTCTCTATGAACGAGTATCGATGGGTCCTTGACTCAATGCCGTCCGATCTGAGAATCTCACGCCACGCAGTGTGACCACGTTCAAAGCATGCATCTTGCCACTTTCGCTGGAAGATGCACTCGTACTTCTTTCATTTCGACAGTGTGACCACGTTCAAAAAATTGTCGAAAGCAGAACTAAACTTCAAGGCTCAAGTCCGCCAAGGCAGCCGGGGACGCTGGTAGCTGCAACTCCATGAAAACGAAAACGACATTCCCAGTTCCACCAAGCAGGTGCCGAAAACAAGGAATTGAGAAAAGAATCTGGCATAGTTAAAAAATAATAATAATAATAATAATAATAAATATATATATCGTCATATATATCGTCAAATAGAACTGCCCGGTAAACCGTAGGCAGAGAGGGAGAAGAGGACAACAAACGAGGGGCTGTGACAAACTGTTTCGTCGGAGTTTCACCGACTCATATATATATATATATCGTCATATATATCGTCATATATATATATCTATATATTATATATTGTCACAAGAGTATCAGAGCGCAAACGCGAACAAAAAGAACAAAAAAGGAAAAAGAAAGAAAAACAAGAAAAAATGAATTCAATCTTTTATCTTCTTCCTTATAACTCCCCCTGTTCAGAACCTCTTGCGTACAAGGCCGCCCACGTGGATGTAGGTTGAGCGGCGGCTGCCCCCACCCCCGTGTGTCATATCGACCCACTTGCATATATCGTCACAAAGATATCAGAGCGCAAAAGCGAAAAAAAACAAAAGGACAAGAAAGATATATATGCACGACCGAGAGGCGCAACAGCTTGTTCACCGGAACAACATTCAATACAGAGACGCGAAACACACACACACACACACACACACACACAAATAAAAATGAAGCAGAGACGGCAGGCACACCACCAAGAAATGTGCACGACTTAGAGGCGCAACAACTTATCCATCAACCATGTCATTCAATCTATTCTCCAATCAATCAATCAATCTAATTGCCTATCATACATCTATTTTTCAATCAATCGATCAATCTATTTGCCTATCATATCAACCAATCAGTCAAGAAAGCAAGCAAGCAAACCAGCCGGCAATATATCAATCAATCAATCAATCAAAAGCAGCAGGGCAGCAAGACGAGGAACAGGCAACAAGGCCTAGCAAAGCAACAAAGCAACAAAGCAACAAAGTAGCGCTGCCAACGCCATTCTCTTCCCTATCTCTTTCCTCCTAATGACTGCCAGTGAACAGCAATCGGAATGGTGGCCCCACGAAATAGAGGGGCCACACACACACACACACACACACACACACAAGTAGCAAAGCAACAAAGCAACAAAGCAACAAAGCAGCGAGACAGCATTGACAAGACAACGGGTAGAACTCAGTCAACGTTAGGTTCACACCACCATCTGAGGCAGGAAGTCACCTCGACCAACGTCGGGCATCACCCAGAGAAAACACAGACACCCGCACGCCGACCCCGTCCGCCTCCCCCAATAGTGGGGCAGGCACTCCGGAGGAACAGGCACTGACAGTTAGACACGTCTTAAAGGCTTTCACTTAGACACAAAAGGCACAGGAAAAGAACGGAGAACGTGTGAGCACGACAACAGCCGAAACGTGCTTAGAATAAGACAACAACAAGAAAAAGCTAAAACGAGAGAGAGAGAGAGAGAGAGAGAGAGAGAGACGGTCAGAAGGCCAAGCTGGAGAGAAGGTGAGAGGAGGCAGATAAATAAGGATGCACCTCGACGAAAATGCGAGGACGATTCATGCATGTACTTCGACTCTTCTAGACGGAGAGAAAGAAAGCAGCGCCACAGGCTGAACAAGACGGACGCTAAACTCGAATGCAAAGTGATGAATTTAGCATACCACTAAGTGGTTGAAAGAGACGGAAGATGGTGATGAGAGTGATTAGGGAGATCATCACTACGAAGTCAGATAGCTGGGATCCCGATGGTAGAGAAATGAATACTCCGAAGAAAAACGCACATTATGGAGAGAAACGAATAGTACCGAGAACAGGCGATAGAGACAGTCAAGGATCCAGATAGTATGGAGATAAAGACTATGGAGATCTATGGAGATCTATAGCCAAGCATCCAGAGAATACACAAACGAATACTCTATGGAGATAGACGGCAAAGGACCCAGATGGTAAGGAAATGAATACTACGGAGGAGATAGACAGCCAGGGATCCCGATCGCAGGGATCCCAATGACCATCATGCAAATCTACGGGCAACGATTCAAGTTATAGATAAACGCATACCATAAAGA